GTTGGAAGTTGAAGAGTTCGGGCCACCATCTGGACCTGCTGCTGCATTGCTCAATCTGCGATGTCGACCACTGCGGCCGCCGCTGGCCCCGCTGCCCTGCTGACGCCTACGGCCAACAACAATGAAGCCTCCGACGCCAAGCCAGCTCGCGACGGACCGCATTCCGCCGTAGAGCTGGAAAAGCTAAACCTCTTCCAACGCTACTTGTCGGTGTGGGTGCTCTTGGCCATGGCCGCCGGCACCGTCCAGACTGTGCTCATTTGGGGCATCACGTACGCCGTGTCGATCTACATTTGCATCAACAAGGTCCACATCTTTTTCGAATGAAGAAAGGGCTAGTTCGGCAAATTTCGACCGCCGAGTGTGCATTATTTGGACGCTGGTGTGCATTTGACCGGACCAATGCCAGCGCCGTCGATATGTGCATCGTCGCATTCGCAACGCGGGCGGATGTGTCTGATGATACGATATTGTAGGATTTGAAGCGGTCGTGCTACCCGTTCCTATCTCCGTTTCGGACGAGCACACCACGCATCCGAGCTTGCAGAATTGTGGCAGCTTTGTGCTGTTTGTCGCTGGCCACTCGTTCTTCCTCTTCCCGGCGCAACCGTTGCCTCGTTTGCGCACCTCGAATCCGCGCTTGGATGGCGCTCACCCCTTTGCCGACGGGACGGGGGGGCACTGCGACTTCTTTTGGCAGGAGAGACGCTTTGGTGTGTTGATGCCTACAGATAGATCCCCGGACAACCTTTTGAATGGCAACTGCAGCGTTTGTTTCGTCGGGGACGGGTGGCTTAATTGGCGAGCACAGCACGATTTGGTGCTGTCGTTTCTTTGCCCGCTTCTTCTGATGCAGGCGGCGCAAGTATGACGTCTTGATAACGTGGGCGGCGTTTTGCTTCTCCAGGTAGAGCTTCCGCGTTAGGGCCGCACGCATGGTGGCCTGGATTGTCGCTGCAGCTTTCGCTTGTTCGTGCGCATGATCGCTGTCAGGAGGGGGTGCAATCGATGGCTGCAACGGAACCAGAGGGGCTTTTGTGTGCGTCGTCGTCGTTGGTGCTGGGGCTCTTGGGCAGTAGCGCAGACGCTTCTCGGGACCATGCTCGACATCCAAACGGTCAAGAATTGATTCCCACTCGGTATTCGTGCGAGACGCCGGGTCTTTTACCACGTGCGGCGGAAGGACCAGCTCGAGAGAAGCGCATTCGTCAGAATTATAGGCCACAACAACAACTGCGCCTCTGCCGTCGTCTGACTCATCGAGGCACACCTGGACGAGGTAGTAGTCGGCGCCGAACTGCCGCGCGGACTTCAACATGCACGTTCGCTTCAGGGGCGGTATTTGCCATGTCAAGACGCCATTCTGAATGGTCAAATGCGGCAACAGCGCAACGGCGGCAGCTTCCAACGTCGAGAACGCAGGTGTAGTAGCCCTAGTCCGGAGGTACGCGGCGATGTCGGCGCCAGATTTGGTCAGGACGTACGTCTTGTGCGTGATGGGGTGTTCGGCTGTAAAGTGAACGCCGCCGTCCTCGGTGGACGCCATCGAGACAAGAAACTGTGGTAACGACGGAACGATCGCGACCTCGTGAAACATGCAGAAGATGGACGACTGAAGCGTCGCATTCGAGGATGCGGCGGACGCCGGGTCGTCCAGGGGCACATACAGCACGTGCGGGACATACTGAAGCCTGTCGCAGAGCAATCTCGAAATCATTTCGACCGAGAACTCCTCTTTGATTGAGATCGTGTCGCGAAGGAGCTTGAGGACGTGCTCTTTCGACACGACGAGTTCGTACGTCCGACATGTTTCACTGTCGTAGCCCGCGACTGTCATTCCGTATGGTGTGCGACCGGCCTTGACGGTCAGGACGAAGTAGACGCCTTCAATCACACGGCACTGCTTAAAATTGTACGGCGACGTGGCATCGAGGAAGCCCGGGGAGTGAACCCCTCCGTTGTGGCAGGGCGACCCATTCTGACCCCACTTGAATCGGGGACTCAATGGGTCCAACGACGGCAGCCCCGGGCGCTTGCCGACTCGTTGGGGCTGGAAGCTTGGGCGGTGTTGTTTCGACTGGCGCCCCCGGCAGTAGGTTGTGGCTGCGCAGTTGGCATGAAATACCTTATGTGATGGAGATGGTGACTCCAAGATTGGCGTGATGATCGTTGGCAAGCTCAGACTGTAAAAGTCAAGCAAGTTGTCCTGGTCAACGGCGTCGCCATCGGGCGTGAGTTGGAGCAACTGCGCGGCGCGGCCCCGCAATGGAGCGTAGTCGAATCGGTCGTTTTCAGGCGGCGGGTCCTTGGACGGCGACAGCAGCGGGTATGCGCAGATAGACTTGAGGTACTTGACGCTTTGTTTCCAGTCACGTTGGAGCTTTGTCGTCTTGTAATAGGTTGATGTCGTGCGGACGCGATGCTTGTGCAACTGCGCGGCGTGTAAGGCAAGCAAGGGGAGCGTTTGGGAAAAGCGCTACCTCGTTCTCGGCTTGAATTTGCTTGAGCTTCTTCGTTCGAAACGTGTCGTTGAGCCACTTCTTCGCCGGGAGCGGGGCGGTCGGCTTGCGGGGGCTGCGGCGAGGGCTATGGTAGACTGTGTATGACACGTCTTCTACAGACTCGCATGGATGGAACTCCCATGACGAGCAGTTGAGGACGTCTGCCATTCGATTCACGAGCATGTTGTTGTGTTTTTCGATCTCTTGGGCCCGCTCTAGACGCGGTCGCGCGTGAGCTCAGGACGTGGGGGGTACCTGACTGTGTGCAGTACCTTCCACAAGTCGCTCCTTGCGCTTGTTGCACGTCATGTGGACCATGGACAGCGTTTTCGGCTTGGTGGTGTCAATGGCAGAGCGAGTTTCACCCAGCTTCTTGTGGTGGATGGTTCTTGCGGCTTCTAGCTCCCTCTCCCGACACAGCTTGCTGCTCGTCCGCTCCGCTCGATGCATAGTGCTGAGTTAGCGCTGCTGGAGCTGTTCAGGTCCCACGTCGGTGTAGCCGCCACCAAACACTGGTTGCTCGAGGCTAAATATATTCGTCGCAACGCTTCAAGATTGAATTGTACGGATAAAGTGGTCCAAAAGTCCGGATAATTCGATTTGGACGTGTGATGTTGGGCCAGGTGCGGCGACGATGGGTCATGGCGGTACATGCTCGAGCCTTGAGTGCATGGACTCTGCGACCCCTCAAGCTACAGGTGGCTTCGCCGACACCATCGGACAGTGACATTGCCAGCGCCCAAGTAAGAGATCCTGGACGTTGGGACGGATAAAAGCAGGATGTGATCGTGTAGAAGCCCAAACGTGTGGAGGACTTGGCGGCAGAAGTTGGCATCAATGCTCAGGACGAACTGAAGCTGTATGGTCCTTACAAAGCCAAAGTGTCCTTGAACATCTTGAACCGGCTGGGCGATCAACCCAATGGCAAATATATTGTCGTGGGAGGCATGACTCCTACACCTCTCGGCGAAGGCAAGACAACCTGTGTGATGGGGTTGGTGCAGGCATTCGGGGCGCATCTGAATACGAATGCATTTGCATGCGTGCGGCAGCCATCCCAGGGCCCAATCTTCGGACTCAAGGTCTGTGCAAGAGCTCGCACATGTTGCTCCCACATCCGAGTAGGGTGGCGCCGCAGGCGGTGGCTATTCCCAGGCGATTCCGATGGCACGTTTGTTCATTTTCGACATTGTGTTTTTATACGGCGTACACTCGTAGGATGAGTTCAACATGCACTTGACGGGCGACATTCATGCCGTCTCTGCCGCAACCAACTTGCTTGCGGCGGCCATCGACGCTCGCATGTTTCACGAGAGCAACCTGTCGGACGAGACGTTGTTCCAGCGGCTTGTGGCTTCCAAATCGTCGTCGAGCCCTCACTTCACCCCTGCCATGCGTCGCCGTCTGGTCAAACTAGGCAATCTTGATTTCTTTCGTCGCGTGCCTGTGCCCTGACATGGATTTGAATGTGCACAGGACTCGACACGAATTCGGCCACGCCTCGTCATCCAAATGACCTCACGCCAGGTGAACGGCGGAAATTCGCTCGTCTCGATATTGACCCTGCCACGATCACGGTCAAACGGGTGGTCGATACGAACGATCGGTTCCTTCGTCAAGTTACTGTGGGCCAAGGGGCGGCGGAAAAAGGACGCACTCGATCGACGGGGTTTGACATCTCGGGTACAGATCCCAGCGCAGTCACATGAAATGGCTGAGTGTGTCGCGCCTGACCCTCTACGTCGTGTGGTAGTCGCGAGCGAGGTCATGGCAATCTTGGCCCTGTCGAAGGACCTTTCCGACTTGAAGGAACGCGTCGGGCGCATGATTTTTGGGTTCAGTCGTGCCGGAAATGCTCTTACGGTGGATGATATTGGAGCGACAGGTGCTGTTGTCGCGTGGTTCGAGCGCACTCTGACCCATGCGACCATTATCCCAGGTGCCTTGACGGCCTTGCTGCGCGATGCCCTGGAGCCGACGCTCATGCAAACGCTCGAGGGGACCCCAGGTACCATTTCAAATGCGTTGGTCTAACGCTGACAACGGTCTCGTCAGTGTTTGTGCATGCTGGTCCGTTTGCAAACATTGCCCATGGCAACTCGTCGATAGTCGCGGATCGAATCGCGGTAGACGATTTGCCGCTCATTGCTCTCAATTCGACTTTAACGAGTCTCGTTGTAGCTCAAGCTCGTGGGGTCCACGGGGATCGTTGTGACCGAGGCCGGGTTTGGCGCAGACATGGGCATTGAGAAGTTCTGCAACATCAAATGCCGTGCCAGTGGACTCGAGCCCGATTGCATCGTGGTCGTCGCGACGGTTCGGGCGCTTAAATTGCATGGTGGGGCGACCAGCGTCATCGCGGGCAAGCCTATGCCTCCCGAGTATACGACGGAACGCCTAGACATGGTGGAATCGGGAAGTGCGAATTTGGCGCGGCAGGTCCAAAATGCAGCAGCGTTTCGAGTGCCGGTGGTGGTCGCAATCAGTCCTTTTCCCCATGACACGAACGCAGAGTTGGAACTTGCTCGAAAGCTCGCGTTGGCGGCTGGGGCGACCGACGCGGTAAAACGCGGCATCAATCGGTACACCTACGACGTTGCTGCTGGTAGGTCATCGCACCGTATCATGAAAAGGGCGGGGATGGCGCTGTCGGCGCGGCTCTGGCGGTGCAAAGAGCTATGGACCAGCACCAAGCAAGTCCCGATCGACGACCGTTTGCTCCGTTGTATACATCCGACATGACGGTCGTAGAAAAGGCCCATGCCGTTGCCAAGACCATGTATGGTGCTTCTGGCGTGGAATTTGAAGCGCGTGCCAAAGCCGACCTGGCTCGGTAAGCAAATGGCGTTTCGTTGGCCCGTCATTGCGATTCAAATGTGCCAACGACCGAATGGTCAGGATCGACAGCCACGGATTCGGCCACTTGCCCATTTGCATTGCCAAGACACAATATTCATTGTCGCACAACCCGCTTGTACGAGGTGTTCCCGATCCGTTCGTACTGCCCATCACAAGCGCGCGGCTGAATGCAGGCGCGGGATTCATCACGCTCTGTGCGGGAGACATCTCGACCATGCCGGGACTCCCCACCAGACCAAGCTTCATGGACATCGACGTTGACGACGCAACTGGCCGCATCACCGGACTTTTTTAGCTCGGTAAACATGGCTGGATCTGGTTTTGTTCACGCTGGCTAGGTCACTTCACTCGAATCTTCATGCTCGAAACTCCATCCATCGTACAGAGTGTGCTCCAGCATGCATTCGAGTGTTGTCGCTGGGTGCACGAGTACGAGCAGTGAAAGTGGCTTGGATCGTCTAGGTAGGCTGCCCTTTCACCACTTGCATGGGGACGCCACCAGTGGCCGCGACTGTGCGACGGACGCTAAAAAGAGTTGCAAGAAACCGTGGACATTCCCGATCAAAGTGGGCGCGCAATGCCAAACGCCTTGCAATCGCCGCCGACAAGTGGCCGAGCAGCATTCTGAATCGTATCGATAGCTATCATATCGAGGAGGTCTGCGACAGAGGGGAGCACTTTTTGTGGCACAAGGGGGATTCCATCGCCTCGCACAATGGCGGTGGGGCTCGTTGTTGACCACGGCGAAGGCAAACATCAGGCTCTGGGAGACCGGTCGCGATGATCGACGGTGACCAACACACTCCAACAGGATCACGTTGGTTGTCATGGCGTGCTGATCGACCGACGTTTCCGAATATGCATAGCTGTTGGTGACATTTCAGCGCCATTGTAAACATAAACCAGTCAAGGTCATTGTGTGTGCCAAGCTCGCGACACAGAAAGAAGCCAATACGATTTTGTTCCGTTGAACCGTCACACAAGAACAAAAGCTTCGGTCGCCATCGTTCTTAAGCCCCAGCCGCACATTATGGCGTATGTCCATGGGCAGAACGTAGGGGTATGCTCGCAACGTTGGCGTAAGGGGGGCAAGATGTTGTACGTGCCATATTCGCATGATGAGGCTTCCAAACGTGTGAAAACGGATTGGGGTGTGTATACAAGCGAGGACTCGTTGTGTATCTAGAATATTGATCGCATAAAGGAGGGCGCGTCGTTCCTGTTTGGTCTCTCCTGGAGGCCATGTCTCTTGTCCCCGTTAAACACGGCCATTCGATGGAGGTCGTCACGGGTCGTCAAGCTCACGCCACGCCCTTTTCGCGAGCAAAGGACACGATCTCAGCGTTGTATTACACCTTTACGTGTGGCTTGTACATCGGGGCGAGTTCGTTGCAGCAGAGAGCGATCCACACGTTTGCACCGCCGGTGGTACAGTGTGTGTGTACGAGTGCTTGGCCCTCGTGCACGTGTACGGCTTGGTTCACACGTTTTTGCCTCGACACCACGTCCACACGATG